TCAATGTAATAGACAATCTTTAACCACTTGCGCTATGACTAAACTTCACGGTTGCGGTGCCGTGCGCTACAATATAACAAGCGGTAAAGTGTCTCATTTACGCCGCTCCGCATCTGCGAGTGCAACCCAGAGCTGTAACTCGAGAAATATACAATCTCTTTGTTAGGCGACGTGTGCACCACGTTATTTTCATTTTTTGCGATAAATGCCTATCGACGTGGTGTCCACGTCGCTCGCAGTTTGAGACAAAAGCATCTCGACGTACGTGGCACGTCGTTTTAGCGCAAGTGGTTAATAAAATACCAAATACACCCCAAATCACCGGTTTTATTTTTCTGGCAGAGCTTCGTCTCTTCGGACTTTTCATGTTGCATTATACAAAAGATACTATGATTTCACATATAATTTCCGTAAAATTATTTACATATATACAAAATTCATAACAATAGAAAAGATAATGACTTCCTATACATTTTGCACTAATCAACTCTTACTTTATTCTTGCTTATTATTGTGCATCAGAAATGAAAAAAGCTTTTTAAATGCAAAATTTAATTAGATTCAGCTTATAACGTGTAATCAAATTAAAAGCATCTTATTTATTTTTTGCGTTCAGATACAAGACTTGCTAAAGGCTTAATGCTTATTTTGGGTCTGAATTTATTAGGTTTAGTCTGTGTTATTTTATAAAGTGATTAAAGTTATTTATTCAAAAATAGATTATGTAAACCATGCAGTATCTATTTTCTTCCGAAAATGTCAAATAATAAGGGATAATTTATCATTAGAGCTCACCGTCTTAATATCTTAACAATTTAGAAGGCACAAATTTATTAACTGACCTTTTTTTCGCCAATGCTTGCTGACCGGAAACCTTTCAGTTGACCTTAATTTAGCAACAATAGGGGACAAATTTTCGCTGTTTGTTGTGTTTTTCGTTTTCTGTCCAAAATAATTGTGTTTTTATCCTACGAAATATTAATAAAATTAATTTTATTATAGTTTTTATTCCAGTAAACATTCTTTTCCTTTGTTTCCAATTATTCAAAAAATAGCATTGAAATGTGTGAATATTTTTACGATTTTTGCACATAAAGAGATAATTTTAGTATAATTATATGTGATATTGTTGTATTTTTCTGTGTAATGTAACATGAAAAAGAGAGAGGGAGAGAAATTATGCCGGAAAAGTAAGCATACAGGGGCAAGTCTTATTAACATTGAATTAATGGGTATGTTGATAATTTGGCGAGATATCGCCTAGCTGGCGACTAATTTTCGTCAACAAACTTCGAGATTAATTGCCAAATGTCGCCAAACTTGATGGCCATTTGGCGACAATTTGGTCTGATCTTTGTATCACCGAAATTAATATTGTAATTGAATAAATGTCATAATTAATAATGATCACTGTATTAGTCGTAACCGTAGGTAGGTAGGTAGGTGACGGAAACGGGACCCTGTGCACCAGGATAACAGCATTGTCCCTCGCCTCCACTATCTATGCACATCCCTTTGGCCTCGAGTCCACACCGACTTATTATGTGCAGATTTACCTGGCCAAACGGGCGACTTATTAACATTGTTGACTATTCAATTACAGGTATGAGCTTGGGACGGATTTACAGTGAGGGCTCAGACTAGTATAATTATGAAAACACAAAATATGAAAAGTACAAAAACACACCCAGAGGGAAAAAAGGGGGAGAGGTACACTTGATTACACTGAAGCTTATGACAAAAAGCACTTAAATAATAATAACATATACCCTGTCAGAACATATTGGCCTCATTATCACATACTGTACATGTGGGTGTTTTTACACAGGGGCCAAAGATGGGATAACATTGATTGCTGGGGTCGTAACCGTAATTCGACCCTCATATTGCCTTCCGTAATTTCAAGAAACAGAAAGTACTAGAAATATCTCGGCGGCCAGGTGAAAACTATATAAGGCCGGTGAGAGCATCTGCACTGAATTATTCTTAGCTGTTAGCTGAGGGTGAGATCCGACTACTACCTCCGTTTTAGCGTCGCTCTTTCGATGTGCTCCGCATTGCATTGTGTTTAACGTTCTTAGTAGTTTGGAGTGTCACTACTGATTGTGCTCTGCGATATTGTGAAGAACAACACCAGTATTTTTGTGGAATGTTCCAGAACTTTGAAGTGTTCCTTTCGATAAAATAAATTTTATTAATCTATCTTCGAACCTGTGTGCATTCAATCTGTTAGAAACCCGTACGAACGGAAGCAATATTAATCAAAGATTATAAATGAATAAATCTGTATTACATCCAAATATTTATTTGCAAAAGTTTCGAAGGAAAACACGGATATAACGAAACTTTCTTGTTAACCTTTACTGAACGGAAGCCTAATAATCAGTCTTTTTTTCTGGCAATTATTTGTGACCAGCTCACGAACAAAAAATTATACCGAAATTTCAGATGAGGGAAGGGTTCCTTAAATTTAATTAATGCTCCTAATGTTTGAAAGCGATTAAAGAACCTAATTGATAATATTAATAAACGCAGAATAGGCATTATTACCACCAAGTCAAAGTCATTAATCTCCATTTTTTACTGCCTTAATGCATTTTCTACATTTCTCTCTTCCTCCTTCCCCGATATTTATTAAAAGTCAGGACACATGATCGTACAATTATCATTTAGAAGCAATAATACATTTTCTATTAAAGTGTTTTGAGAAACACTTATTTAAAATGCATTTTTCTAAAAATACCGTCTTAAAATAACGATTTTGCAGATATCTACTATTTCGGCATTATGCTGACGATATATAAGAGCATCAAATACTAAGAAATGGAATGTATATAACGGTACTTGTATATAATGTAAATAACGGTAAATGGTATTTTTTTTAATAATCCACGTTTTTCAAAAAAAAAAAAAAAAAAAAAAAAGCGAAATGTTTTGATCTGAAGATGAGTGAAATTAATACTGTCACATTAGAATAAATATAACAAATTAATGAGTATAACCAGACGCTTTTTGAAGTGAAAGTGTAATTTTTATATAAATAAAATGTAGAAACAACTTTTAAATTTTACCTTGATTTTCACTGGCAAGAATCTGAAATTACATTATTGATCCTTATAGAGGCTTTATCACATCATCAAAACTTAATGGTGTTTCGAACGATCGCCATTTGATTTTTTTGGTTGTAATGTTTTCGTTTCGCTTAGTAAACATTTATTTCTGAGCAAGGAATAAAATTAATGTTAATTTGGTGTTTAAGTAGATTCAAGTAGACACATGTATGAAAAAAGAGTACAAGTCTGTTCTGAAATGATTAGAAAAGGAAAGAATATTTCAGACAATACGATATTAAAAAAGAACTCTTTTTTCAGAAAGCTCATGAAAAATTACATCACTTTCGTGAAACTTTCAATACTTGAGTTTAGCTGTCAGAAGGTGCTAACCTAGTGTCTGTAGAAGAAATGCCTCAAGTCAACGCCATCCAAGATAGCTTATCTCGCGTTGTAATGCAAATGGAATTAAAGTATCTTTCATCCATTTAGCACAGTGTCATATTATGATCAATAAAAAGGTTTTAGAACTTCATGGATCACTACATATATAATTTTACATTATTTTATATTTGGCGGACCACTAATATGAATTAAAAAAGGGAAAATACATTTATGCAATAATAATCAGCAAACTACACATATCTCGCTCACATTGAAAAATTACATGTAATATACAAAAATCTTACCTTCTTGTAGAGAAAGCTTCTCATTTCCATATCACTCAAAAGGAACTTCACGAAAACAGGGAACAAACCGGCAAATGCAAAGCAGTATCAATAAACTGACAGTGTTATGCAGCCAATTTTTAATTATTGTAAACATAATAATCATCGCTTACTCAGCATCGATCAAGAGTTAGACCAAACAAAAACGGAAATTCCAGTGACAGGCACTTAAAACAAGAATGCAGAGGTTCTCATAAAATCCATTAAGATGCTATTGACACGGAAAAAAGTGTTATTAAGCACATAGCATGTTTGTAATCAAAGAAGAGATCCAGTTCGCGAGCATATGGTTGTAATTGAAAAGGAAGATAATTCCAGTTCGCGCTATTATTGATAACAGCATCATATCCTGGTCCACTCTCCTTTCAGATGTCGCTTAGATACACTGCAAAGTCTAAAAGTCGTTAATCTGAGAATTTCGATAAACTATTAGCTAAAAAATCATATATATCTGATATATATATAATATATATATATAATATATATATATTATATATTATATATATATTATATATATATTATATATCTCGATATATACGGGTTACTCGTCATTTTTTAAAAATGAATCTCATACATATAATAATGTCCCAATTTTTCTCCTGCGACCATCAAAGTTTTCACACGACCACATTTCCATATCACTGAAAAGGAACTTCACAAAAAGCAAGAACAAATCGGCAAACGCAAAGCGATATCAGTCATTTGTAAAGGAATTCGATCACTGCACATCAGGCGTAATAGGGTGTTACGTTTATCATCTACGGTGACTTTCTTGCAACAATAGGAAAATCAAAAAATAGCTAGTAAAATTAGGTAGTAAAGGATAAATGCTTCTAACCAAGAAATTTCATTTATCTAAATGCTTAACCATTATCAAGTCATAGTGAATTGCGCAATACGTTTTGACACACTGTTCTATTATGACTGAAAATATTAATATCAGCTTTAAAATAATCTTGCAAAAATTTGTTGTCAGTGTTTAGCATTTCATTTCAGAATAAGTGTTAAAAAAACTAATAATGAGTTGATACTAATAATTTCCCCGATTACCTGTTTTTAAAAATAGTTCTTCATTCAGAAATTTAAAATTGAGCTACATCATAACTTGAAAATTGTACAACGTACATTCTAGAATCTTCACAGATTTAACATATTATGATATGTTTGTCGGCAGAAAGAATCTTTTCAATATTTGCCCTCTTTTTTTCCTCTCTCTTTTTAGATTAATGATGAAGAATCCGTTCGTACTGCTATCGAAGCCGCTGTCGAAGCTGGATATCGGCACATAGATACTGCACTTGCCTACCAAAACGAGGCGTTTATAGGAAAAGCATTGCGCAATCTTTTTAATCAAAGGAAGGTCAGAAGAGAGGACATGTTCATAGTTACAAAGGTAAATTTTCAGTCTTTCATTGACTGAAACAGTAGTTATTTTAATGCTTTATTACTCGTTTTCATCAGCATTACGTGTAAACTCATATGTATTAGTTGATTTATTCTGAAATTTATAAAACGTTCAAGCAAAGGAAAAATGAAATTAAATTAAGAGCAAAAGTTCAAGCAAACGTTCAAGCAAAGGAAACGTTCAAACGTTCAAGGATTTATAAACGTTCAAGCAAAGGAAAATGAAATGAAATTAAGAGCAAAGAATTTTGTCGTTTCGGCCGGTATTCGATTTCTGTGTAATGTATTCCAATTTTGAGCGTTCTTTGAACTTGAATATGGAAATTTTCTTAAAAATTGTCTATTTTTTCTTATTAGATTGAAACGAAAAATGTTAGCCAATTTTCAGAAGATACTCTTCTATATCTAGCTGCAAGAAACATAGCATCTTTTAAAGAATTCTGCTACGAGCATTAAAAAACTAAGTAAAAAGTACTAGTGTCATATAAATTAAAGTACTAGTGTCATATAAATTGCGCTTTTTATGAACATAACATACAGATATAAAAGAAGAAACATAGCAGTGCTACTGAAATGACTGCACATATCTGTACATATTTTACTGATTATTTTACTTTATTACCTTATTTTATTCTATCCAATGTGCATATATTCCTCAATAAGTGATTACAACTGGCATATTTTCGTCAACTGACACTACTGCGACCGATGACTCGTGCTAATCCCGCCCGTGCTCATAAATTTTGACGAGGGCAATTTCACAACGTTATGAAAAACTCTTGTGAAATCCATTGACGGAACTCGTGCCCTTCACGAAAACTATTTTTTTCATTCTTTGAATGACAAGATTTTTTTAAAAAAGTTTTCTCACAAGTTTTTCCGCACCAGCTAGCGTGAACCCCTATCCATCACATGACATGGCTCCACTTTTGACTTCTAGCTAATATTATATTTGTAAATACTCATATTACCAAGATCATTATGGAACTTGTATTTTGAAAACTATATTTTATTTTTGTTTTTGCATTTCAATCAACTTTTTGCATATTTTGTATCGATTGTATTTTACACCACCCACGATGTTACACTCTTAGTGTCAAATGCCACACTTTCCCTTATTTTCACATATTGTCTCTGCGACAACTTTGTTCTGTTTTTTGTACTTCCAGGAACCCATACAACTGGCAAAAAGCCTGCAATCCACGCAGGCTAAGTCCAGTATAACAGCGGAAAATGGGAATGGAAATTAGGGAGGATTCAGCTAATGATCATGGTTTGAAGCCCTGAATGATTTTGCAAAATATACTTTTACGAGGATATTAATATGTCGATTTGAAAACTTTCGGTTTGCTACACGATTACAGTTGTAATTGAATGAAAAAGTTTAAAACATCTCCTGCGTTCTGTTTATACTAGTGAAGATAATAAAACTGTAAATTTCTTTATATTTTTATCTTTTTAAGATATAAGTCTAAAATCAAGCGCTCGTGAAAAATTTACTTATTAATTACTATTAAGGGTCCAGGAAATTCGAAATTTTCTAAAATAAACTCTTATTAGCAAATTTAACAGGTACAGGTGAAGCAAAGCCGGCAAAAGTGCACTTCCGAAAGGATATTATGTATCGATAAGATATTAAAGTATATTAGCTCGGGCCTTGCTAACTGTTAAACTCCATCCCAATTTTTGATGTAGAACACTCCGGAGGTCACCTACTCCTCTTTCCCTGCCATCAACCATTCTAGAAAATTTACCAATAGTCTCGCCATATAAGTGTTCCCCTTGTCGCACAGACACAATATACACTTACAAACATCCGTACCTTCTCCGGGATTCAAATCTGGTCCTATAGGCACGACATCACTAACCAATCTTTGCACATGCATATATTTCTTTTTGTATCTAATAAATGCCGGGTTGGCCCAGGGCTGTGGCCTGGCAGGAAGTTGTTGGACAAGAAAAAAAAGCAAGAACAAATAGGCAAACGCAAAGTGATATCAATAAACTGACAGTGTTATGCAACCAATTCTTAATTATTGTAAACATAATAATTATCGCTTATTCAGCAATGGCCTCCATTGATCAACAGTTAGACAAAACAAAAACGAAAACTTCCACTGATGCAATTATGAGCAAGAATGAAGATGGTTCTCATAAAAATCCATCAGGATGCCTATTGACACAGAGAAAAACTGTGTCATTAACGACCACAATAACATATGTTTGTAATTCAAAAGGAAAGAGAATTCCAGTTCGCGCTATTATTGATAACAGCAGCGTATGCATAGATGCCAACTCTCACTTTCAGTGCGCTAGATCATTCAAAGTCAGCTAAAATTCGCTAATCAGGAGCAATTTCGCTAAAGGGTACTAAAATTTTAAAAAAGTATAATCCATATTCCATAATAGGTTTTGTTACTCGTCATTTTTTAAACTGAATCTTCATAAAAATATAAATAATGTCCCAATTCTTTTGCGGACCATCAAAAAGTTTTCGCGGACCACCGGTTGGCTACCGCTGCTCTAGAAATCTTAAGCGTGAATTTAACAATTTAACATTAACAATCAAAAATATTCTTTAATTTAGGCTATAATAATTTATTTGGATTTTAACTGGATTCCGTCGATACAAAAGTCAGTTTTTCCTAAGTACTCTTGTGATGTTGGCAATTTGTATTTTCTTTATACACTAGCTTTTTATATAAAAATCGCTTTAACAGTTTTATATTAGCCAATTTTTATTTTTAGCCCTTTTGCTGTTTTAAAATTGTTGGACTCCTTTCTGCAGCTCCCAACCAATGGCATGCGTAAAGAAGCTGTGGAACATTTCATGAGAAAATCACTTTCGGCTCTGCAACTTGATTATGTAGACCTATACCTAATTCACTCCCCTGTTGCCTCCAAGGTAAGGTACGCCCATAGCTTTCTTGTATAAAAAACTGAAGTATAAAATCTGTAACTTAATATCAGTAAAGGTAAAGGTAATTTCTACACATTTCTTACCTATCATGTTTTTTTCTTACAGTCATATGCGATTTTATTCCGCCTTTCTTTAAAATAATCCTTAAATTAAAATAA